TTGATTCTTCCTTCATCATCTATCTCAAAATCTTGTTAGAGCAGTCATTGTAAATTAACCTGTGGCTTTATAAAATTTTAAGTGACTCAACCAACAGAGAGCCAGCTTGGTGTAGTGGTTAAGAGCAGCAGACTCTAATCTGGAAAACTGTATTTGATTCCCCACTCCTCCACAGGAAGCCAGCTGGGTGACCTTGGGTCAGTCACAGTTCTCTCAAAACTCAGCCCCACCTACATCACAGGGTGCCTGTTTGTGGGGAGAGGAAGGGAAGGCAATTGTAAACTGCGCTGAGACTCCTTCGGGTATGAAGAGTGGAGTATAAAACCAACTTTCTTCTTCTCAAAATAGATGAGCTGATCTCTGTTGTGCCGCTTTTGAGTTATGAGAATTCTTCACCTGGCAAAGAAAGTACTTTTTTCATGGGACCAACGTCTGTTAGTATAGGAGCATCAGTCTTTAGAATTACAGAATTGTATGTCAGGCAGAAATGGAAAGGTATCTAATTATTGGCTTATATGCAGTAAAATAGGATACTTTTTTTTCTGACAACAGATTTTTACTCTCAACAGATTTGCCCTCTATTAGAAAGGAAAACAGAAAACTTTTATTCTCTGGATCTAGTGTGCCAACAACCAGCCACCCTGAGCCTGCTTCAGCAGGGAGGGTGGCATATAAATCAAATAAATAGACCATTTACTTTAAAATAAATGAGGGGGGGGGGGAATTGACTACATAAGCAGAAAGTCAAAAGGCATGTTTTGGCCTGCATTTCAAAAGTGGGGGTGGGTGGGTTGTTGCTTGATTTCATGTACCCATGCCATTTGCTGGGCTTGTTCCTGATGCAGTGTAGCTGTCATGAAGTTAGATTTACTGAAACTGTAAGCTTTCATATAATCTTGTAAGATTTCAAATAGATCTGCTGTAATTTATCTAAAACTGGTCAAAATCAAGATGTTTACACGTAGTGGTCCTTTTCCAGCTTGCCACCCTTGCAGTAACCCCTCGTGACCCAGAAGCCACTTTGAAGAGTCAAGGGCTGCACTGGGGGTTAGTGGTGGGAACAGGCATACGCAGAAACCCTTTCTGTTCTTGGAGGGCATTCCAGCCATTAACTTTTGAAATGCAGGAGCCATGGCTTAGTGGTAGACCATCTCCTTGGCATGCAGAAGGTCCCAGGTTCAATCCCTGCCATCCCCAATTAAAAGGATTCAGATTGTAGGTTATGTGGAGAGCTGCTTCCAGGCTAAAGAGATAGTACTAACCTTGATGGACCAAGGTTCTGATTCAGGATAAGGCAGCTTTGTGTATCCTCATCTTAATAAATTCAGGAAACTATTATTTTATACAATTAGGTCTCAAAATATGAATTAGCCTCATTTCTGATTGTTGTAGGGGTGTCGGTGGTTAACACTGGCAACCTTCTGCACAGATAGAAGTTACCTTGGGTTCCTTTGCATATGACCTCAACTAAGTTCCGGAATAATTTTTGTTGGAATGAGACAGCTTGTTTTCGGAATGCTTTCCCGTCTGTCAACAAGTCTTGCCTTCTTGCTGTTGCTCAAGAGAAATTCTTACTACTCAAAGTTAAATGCTTTTGGTTAGTGAAAGGGAGAGACCTGCTGTCACCTTTATTCAATTTACATGGATAAATGATTAAATGTGATGGCTTATTTGGATTTCTTTTCTCTCCTTGAAGCTCAGTTCAGAGAATGAGGTGCTGCAGGAGATTACTTACATACAAATGCTTACAAATTGGCCTCTGAAACTGATAAATGGTCACTTTGATTATTTTTCTGTACTAATTAGCCCTATTGACAGATATAAAGCCAAAATAGAATTGAGAGTTTGCGAGGGGGGATTCCACATCTTGTTAGCCATGTATGAAAACAACACCTTAAAGTGCATTTTTCCCCCTGCCAACTGTGAACAAATCCCCCTTTTGCCTTTAAAGAGAAGGGAATGCGTTCAGCTGCCAATGGCTGCAATATTGCAAGTTGATTTTTTTATAAAACAAACATGAAGTCATGTATCCAGATGATTGAAAGTAAAAATAAATTTTGTGCCAGATGTATGCAACTTTTAGTAGCTGCCAAATGTGCCTTTAATTTTTTTTTTCTGAAACAGCAGGTTTCCTTGTAGGGTGGGGTCTTATTTCAGGTAACATTTCTTATTTTGCCAACTTATTAAAATAAAACCTGTGTTGCTATGTACAGGTTTAAGTTTTTTGATGAATTCTGATCATTCATATATTTAAAATGTATTGCCTTCTGTTTAATGGTGTGGATCCTTTGCTAAATGGTTAAGAAGCTATGGCAGTCCAATCCAGTTGTGTAAGGTTGAAGTGGTAATCTCTAAACTGGCACATTTTATGGGCCTGTGTGTACTGAAATCATGTCCGTAGGTGAGCTTTGTATGCTATGTCCGCAATGGTATTCTGATTGCATTTAAAGTGAAAATTAATAGTGGCTGTTTTCAAGAGATTTGTTCTTAAAAATAAATAAATATGCCTTACATATCACGTAAGTGTATAATATTGTATATGTGACAATGTAGGTCTGTTAAGTCTGCCCCAGTAGTTCTGTATACAGTGCTACAGAGTGCTAATTTTTTAAAAGCAATCAAGTCAAATTGTTAAATTACCTTAAGGGTGCTGCTGCGCTCCCAACATGTACAGAATTGTGTGTATGAGACTAGTTGAAGTGATAGCAGCCTAGGTAAAGGTAAAGGTTCCCCTTGCTCGAAAGCCAGTTGAATCCGCCTCTAGGGTTGCGGTGCTCATCTCCGTTTCAAAGCCGAAGAGCCAGCGTTGTCCGAAGACATTTCCATGGTCATGTGGCCGGCATGACTAAACACCAAGGCACACGGAACGCTGTTACCTTCCCACCGAAGTGGTACCTATTTATCTACTTGCAATTTCTTGCTTTCGAACTGCTCGGTTGGCAGGAGCTGGAACTAGAGACGGGAGCTCACTCCCTCATGTGGCACTCAGGTCTCAAACTGCTGAACTACTGACCTTCCACAGCCTGCAGTTCAGCGTCTTAACCACTTGAGCCACCGCAGCTCTGATAGCAGCCTACTGTCATACATCTGCAGGGCTCATGCTGTGGTAACCTTTTTCATGAATTCCTCTTTCCTTGTGACCTTGGCTTGTAAAAAAGTTTAAGCACATGGTTACATTGGTGATGGAATTATTTTTAATATAGTTTAAATAATTAGATCAAATGCAAAAAAACATGCAACAGTGGCTTCAGTTACATGAAACCCAAGTACTTCAAGTCCACAACATTCATGGTTGGGGTCAGTCAAATACTTCGATGCTGTTAAATCACCCACATAGTCTTAGCTCTGGTTTCTTGTGCTGTTCCATAGTTTGAGTACAGCAACCCACATAAATATTTTCCCCACCCATCCCCATCCCTTTCATGAGTTGTCTTAATAAGACTATGGGCTGGATGCAACCAGTTTTCCACTGGTGAAAAAAGGGAAGGAAGGGGTCCTCTGACCACCATAAAGCCTATACTGGGGAGCATGGGACTTGCTTTGATAAAAGCTGTGAGGATGGTGGTAAGAAAGGGATTTGAGTGAGATTGGACAAAAGATGTCTGGGTCCAGCCTAGGGTTGCCAAATCCAGGTTGGGAAACTCCTGGAGATCTGGGGATGGAGCCTGGGGGAGGACCCCAGTGGAGTACAGTGCCATAGAGTCCACCCTCCAAAGTAGCCATGTTCTCTAGGGGAACTGATCTCTGTAGTCTGGATATGAGATTGTAATTTCCCCAGGTCCCACCTGAAGGCTGGCATCTCTACTCCAGCCCCATGCTACAGCAAATATCATGTCTATCTGTTTAAATATCATTACTTTACTGGAAGAATAATACATTTACAATCACAGCATGGATATCTGTATTCCTAATCCCCATATTCCTAAACTGAATTTCAGTTTTCTTGCTAATCTGGTTCTTGTTTTGGTTCTCACTTGGATAGCTGTACTGAATAGGAAGCCACGGATCTATTTCTTATGTTAGTATTTTTTCTACACCAACATAAGAAACTAACATTGCAGAAAATCAAAAGGAGGATAGGTTTCTCCCCATACACCATAAATCTGGTGTAGGACTAGGCATACTTAACCAAGACATGAGAAACAGCTTCAGGCTCAAGCTGTTTGATGCTCACAATTATTCAGCCTCTTTGGTGTTCCCAAACAAGACTGGTAGTCAGAATTCTAAAATAAAGTACATTTGAAATCTGTAACATCCCTAGAGCCTGTACTTGTGTTTTAGCTCCCATTACAACAGCAATTTACGATTCTTTTGGAATACAACCTGCAACTTTTAAAGTGAAAATGATTCCATTATGAGAAGTTAGTTAAATAAATTTCACATTCCCATATAACACCAAGCCATTTGGGGGGGGGGGGACTAAGATGATCAGACCTTTTGATGTCAGTTAATTGTATTTGTATTTATATTGCATCACTGATAGGTTACTATAGGGCAGTGCAATATAGGTGGTGTGAGTGTTGTAAATCCTGCAAGTTTTCTCTACTGAGGCAGCTAAATCCACACACTGGCCAGAGCTGTGTGGTATTGACTAGGGGTCGTCACTGCATGACCCAGAGCCCAGAGATGCAACTCCTAAACCGTCACTCTTCAGCTCTCAAGACGCTGTCTACTTTTAATAAAAGTGTGGCTTTAAAAAATTGCCCAATTTTTTCTTGTAAGGAAAATAAAAATAGTTTCCATAGCTGAAATTCCACACTTCAACAGGTTATGTGTTTTGATTGTAAAATGGCCATGCCTGGTCTATACAAGTACTAGTCTTTCTTCTCTGGGGTCTGTTAATTAAAAACAAAAAAATTATACCACCAACCTTAGGTTCCATTTTCAGCCCTTAAACTTAAAGCTGCCTGAAGCAAGACCACTAGAATGTGTGGGACTCACAGCAGAGAGTCCAGAGGAAGTGCTGAAGCAATTGTATGGTTGGCCTTTCTGTGGGCTGCTTATTTCTTTTTAAAGAGCTTGCGGAAGGAACTGCGAAAGCCCCCTTTCTGTTCTTGTCTTGGGTTGTGGTTGCTGAAAGAAGTTTGCTCATTATCATCCCTATGAGAAAATCTGGTGTTGTCTTCTAAATGCATCTCCTGAAATAGAGAGAAAAAATTGAAGCAGGGTTTAAAAAGCCATCCCTTCTTGTGGGCCAGGTATGTATGGTGAAACAAGAGGGGAGTGGGTGGAAAAATTAACAAGAGGCTACTGAAAGTATGCGTATGTGACAAGTGCTAACCCAGGGGTCCCCAACCTTTTGGAGCTGGTGGGCGCCTTTAGAATTCCAACATGTGTCGTGGGTGCAGCTGCAAAATGGCTGCCACATCTTACCTTCAGTCACACAGTGAGAGCCTTGTGCTGTGGGGGTAGCTGTGCCAAAACATTTTTTTAAAAAACCCTGCACAGCCAATTGAATCTCCGATGGGCAATCAAAAACCTTGCTGGGCAAAAGCCCCACCTGGCCCACCCATGTTCTAAAACCACGTGGCAGGCACCATGACGATGCCCACAGCCACCACACTGGGGACCTCTGCTCTAAACCCTTCACCGTCTCGTTTCCCACTCCTCCCCACCATCCTTAAGGCTTACACTGGAATTGGCCATAACCTTGACTTGCTATTAACCAGGCGCAGAAAGTCTGCTTGTCTCTAAAAGTCAGGGTATAGATTATTTTTTGTCACGCTCTAGCACTGAACAAAGAAACTGAATCCAAGGTCAAGGCTCTGTAATTACAGTCCGCTTTGGTCTGCAGTTGCTTCTGTAGTCCAAAGTAGGCAAGCTGTACAGTAGGTTACAGTGGGAGAGTGCCAGAATGAAGGCTTATCCTCTTGCCCTACCAGAAGGGTCAGTACATCCCCATACTTCCTCCTGTGTAACTGAATCATTGCCATTAGCATCCTCTGGTATGCCTGGGCAAAGGATGCTGCTGTCATACCACTTTCGGCTGTCTTCGAACCTATTGCTTGTCTCTGACCAGCCAACGTGCCAGTTAGGCAGGGGAAATAGAGCAGTAGGGAGGGCCAGTCTCGAAGAAGGGACGGGGAGCAATGTTCCCTCTAAGCCGCGCAGTCTTGTGAGCAAAAATTCTACTTTGTGAGCTACTGGCATTAAAGTTGTGAGCGAGCGATTTGGCTACTGCATAAATCAGTTTGCTCTGGAGCCATCCTTCTTGAGCGAAGACAAAAATGTGTGAGCTGGAGGCTAAAAAACTGTGAGCTAGCTCACACTAACTCAGCTTAGAGGGAACACTGGAGGGGAGCTGCCTGTGACGTGTTCACACAGGGGGTGAATATATCGCTTTTCTACATGTCGCATGGGTAGATAAACCAGACATTCATGCGCATCCGTCCTGAATGTGGCTCATGGAGGGGCAAGAGAGAAAGACAGCTGAAATTGCCTCATTCCACCCACTCACCAAACTCCGTTATTGTCTACTCTGGCAACTGCTCTCCGGCATGGCCAAAAGGGAGCAAACTCAGTGGGGACTGCCAGGGACTGAAGCCAGAGCCTCCTGCATCCAAGGCATATATGCTCTACCACTGAGCCACAACCCTTCTGCTGACAGGACTTTTTAAATAAGCAAGTAGTGATGATGCCAGAGGCCTCACAGACACTGACCCAGAGAACTGCCTGAAGGCACTTGACATAGTTCAATTGCTGCAGACAAGCTGGTCAGAGCTGGTTAGCCACCTGGCTGGAAGGCCACCTGGGAGCTATTACCAAGCTACTCTTAGCCATTGGACAAAATGGGGTATACGTTTAATCAGGACACAAGCTGGGGCTTAGGGCACGGCTTCAGGACATAGCCTTGCCCCCAACCCTTTTTGGCTGCTGAGTGAAGGCCCTGCTTACATGTTTCTGAAACCCTGCTGGGAAGTGGGTTTGCCCTTGCCTTTCGCTCTCCTTACTTCCAGAAAGCTTTGCTTTTCACCAGCTCCTCTCTGTGGAGGAAAGTAGTTCCGCTGGGAGCTCCTGGATGAGGCAGGGGCCATGTGAGACTGGAAGCCCCGCTCCTGCTTGCCTTGCAACCGACTCCCACTGCTGCTCCTGGTACTGTAGAGCCTGGAGCTCATGCCTTCCGTCCCACTGCGAGGAAACTCCTTCAACGACCGGCTCAGTTGTTTGCCTTTGCTACGGAAGACATCGCGCTTGTACGTGCTGCTGCTGACCGGAGCGCAGCTCTTTGGGAGTGGCTGGACTGTGTGCTCTGTCCGCTCTGGCTCTGTTGTGAAGTTCACAGGCCTCAAGAAGCATATGTCGATGCTGGACTCGGAAGAGGCAGGAGAGCAGGTCTCAAAGATGGCCAGGTTTTGACTGGACTCTTCTTCATAGGGGCCGGGCATGGCATATGAATCCCCTCTGTATTCAAAGTCTTCGTAGTCAGGAGCAAAACTTGTGCTATCCTGGAGAAGATCTGCTGAGGCCCTACGCAATCGCTCAGGGTTTCCTTTTGTGTCAGAAGGAGGAGCATTGTACTCCAAGTCTGGGAAAGCCTGCAGGGAAGCTGCAAGAGCTTTCAGGTCTTGTTCGCTGAACTGGGATGGAGTCAGGACATTCTCCGCCCGGTCGTGCCGCCTGCTGTCGGTTTCCCACTCACTCTGCGGGGTTCCTTGCATGCTCTCCACCCCCTGTTGTTGGCTCTTCTTCATGTGTGACATCAAGTGCCTTAACAGAGGAAAGAATATTGTTCGTTTTATTTATTTAAGACATTTTTATAACTTGTCTACTAACATTTCCAATGCAGAGAATAGCAGCATAGCCAACAAAACAACAATAAATCAGTTAAGCCATCACATTTTTAAAAAAGATGCAAAAGGCAGCCAAACGACAATTTCAAACAGCAGCCACAAGCATTAATTGCAGCTCTCAGTGGCCTGTTTAAACAGTCAAAAGATAATCTAAGTTAGAACAAGTAGAGTTCCAAAGCCTGCTTCAATGGGCCAGGCACTGGAATGTTTCCTGGGTGGCACAGGACCAGATTAAGCATCAGAAGAAGGGTCAAATGGGATTAATCGCTGCGAGTTCCAAGGTCAGAGCTCTTGAGTGTTTTCCTTTGCAGACCGCAGCTGCTCAGAGGCCTGATTCAGATCAAAACCATGGCATGGGGTGGGGGGACATGGCTTCAGCCATAAGCCTCCCTGTGCCAATTCCCTAACCTCAAATGGACCTGCAGAGCCTCTATAAAACTGTAGACAGTAAATGATAGTGCCTAAATTTTCATTCCCTCCACTGAACTGAGCAAGGTTCCTCCAAACACAGTCCCCATCTGAATCAGGCGCCTACATGGTTCATATTGACCAACAAAAAATGTTTGGGAATGCCAGACACAGAATTCTCATCACCATCTTGTACGGTTTGTCCCTCAGTCCTAGCCATGGCTCCCTTCCTCCATTTGAGATCTCCATTGATGGTCTCAAGCAGCTGAATATCTTCAGTTTTGTCTTCTATACATTCATCCTCTCCTGCTCCTCCTAGATTGTTGTCTACTTAGCTAAGTAACACTCCAAAACCTGCTTGATTCACACCAGCTCTAGGCATGCTCATTGTCTCTCCTCTGCCTTTGATGTCTATGCAGTCTTGCACACACCCCTCTCCCACTTACAACTTTGCTTTCTTCAGTGATTACATTCCAGCTATCTGCTCTGATCTTTCTTCTTCTCTCTGACCATTTTCCACCTCTGCCAGGGCTCTCATTTCTTGGTGGTGGTGGTGGAAATTGCCGTCAAGTTGCAGAGAGGCCCTGACCTGGATGGCCTAGGCTAGCCCAATCTCATCCGATCATGGAAGCTAAACAGGGTCAGTCCTCCTGCTTAATACTCGGATAGGAGACCTCCAAGTCCAGGGTCACGACACAGAGGTGGGCAATGTCAAACCATCTCTGAATGTCTCTTGCCTTGAAAACCCTAACCCTTTCTTTAATTCAGGGGTCGTTTCGTAGAAAAAGAGCTAGGGGAACTCATTAGCATAACTCATTAGCATATGCCACACCCCCTGACATCACCGGAAGTGTGTCATAAGGCCACACACCCCGCCCCCAACGGTCCCGGCTGCCGCCGCTGGCCTTGCAGCTCCACTGCCGAGCCCCATGAGGGGCCTGGCGGTGGACCTGCAAGGCCGGCGGGAGTGCAAGGAAGCCCCGCGAAGGTCCTCCCTGGCCCCAGGCAGGCAGGGGTGGGGAGAGGCAGGGAGGAAGCAACTTACCCTCCCTTTTCTCCTGCCTCCTCCTGGCTGAATGAGGGCCGGAAGCGGGGCGGCCGGAAGCGGGGGGCGGGGCTTCGCCATGTGCCCCGCCCCCGTACCTCACCCGGGGGAACCGCGATCCCCTGCGATCCCCCCCGAAATAACCTTAGGGAATTAAGGAAGGGCATCACATGCTCAAAATGATTAAGAGTTTAGTGGCAGGGGCTGGATAGACGGAAGCCAAAGTGTGATGATGGAATACATCACTGGAAGTACAAATATATGTAGATAATAAAATAATAAAGTCAGCTATAAAGCCAAATTGGAATTATGCATAGTAGACAAGTGAGCTTTTTCTTGCCAAAAATAAGGTTTCCATTACATACATATCTGAGACATTGTCCACCACCCAAGCTCCTGCTTCTATTATCATTTGGTGAACACAGAGCTCTTTCCTGAACACTTGTTCCTACAAACAATGGCTTGGATTCAATAGAGGCCCACACAAATGGAAGTCATTTTTTCCCCCTACAAGGGTTGAAGAGGTGATCTCTGAGTTCTGCCAGTTCCTCCCTGCTTGCAGCCCCCGTCTTCTGTCCCTGACCTGCCAAGTCAGCAGGAGATGGAGGAAAGTCTGTTTCCCCCAATGGAACTCCACTGGATCCGGACCACAGCCCTCACGCTTCCCAAGCTCATCATCCTTCCACATCCCAACCCATGCTACATCAATCAGCCTTATGCAGAGTTGCCAAATGTTTACTATATCTTCTTTTTATGAATAGCTTTCTGTCTCCACATTTACTGATGGCCTTTGGTTGCCACCTGAGGGAGTTATGGGCATGAGAAAAAATGGGCAGAATAAAGCACCATGGCATGCACTGCTGAACTATTCTCTTATGACAGTATTGTCCTCACATCGCTGTTGTGCCAGATGCAGGAGCTGAGGGGAATAGTTGCATTGCCTCTTCTGAGTGGATCCCGCTATCCCGGATGGAGGTAGCACTCAGTGTTGGAGACACCTCTGGGCCGGTGCTGCCACATTGAGAAGCTAGACCTTTGTATAACTTGACGAAGGAAGATCTAGTAAAATCAAGAGGTAGCATCAACATTAGTTAAATAACAAGCAGGGAATATGCAAGGACTTGAGGAGGTCATTTCATTTCCCCCACATTATTTCCTCTTTCTCTCCTCTTGGCAGCCCCCTTATTCATTCCCTTTTCCTTGCTTCCTTCTCTCCTAACCACTTACCAAAAAGCTTTCTTTTATCTATCCCCCCCCCCCATCTTCAGCTTTATTTATCATTTATTTACTTTGTTTATACCCTTCTTCTTCCCAATGGGGACCCAAAGCAGATTAAATCATTCTCCTCTCCTCCATTTTGCCTCCCAACAACGATGTGAAGTTGGGCCAAAATCACCCAGCAAGTTTCCTTGGCAGGGTGGGGATCTGGACCTGGCTCTCCCTGATCCTAGTCTGACCCTCTAACCATTAAACCACAGTAGTTCTCAGCTTTCCATCCTACTATCCCCCTGGAAGCCTCTCCCTGGGGAAAATGGGTGAAACTGCAAAAGTTGTATTGTAGAAAGTTGCTCTGGAGAGTTGTATGGTGGCCACTGCGGTGTCCAGCCAAGCCACACAAGTTGTGCAGAGGCTGCCGCTGAGCCCAGACAAGTTATGTGGTATCAGGTTGGGTGAACTATGCAAACTTCATGGTAGCAAGTTGCCCAGGTCAGGGCAGAAGGGAGGGGAGCAGGGGTGGATTGGTAGCCCATAATAACCCTGGAAAGGGCCATCTCCCCAGCCTTTTGCTGACAGTAACCAAAGGCTGAAGGCTGGCAATATTGTTGTGGCTGCCTAACAAACCCTACAGTGGCCACTGAGATCCAAGCAAGCATCCATTTCTTAAAGGTACAGAAGCTGTGTCCTTGTTTGGGGGTTTTAACCATCCCATGTATTTATTTATATTTCAGATTTTTCTGCAAACCTGGGGCTTTTTTCAGGTTTGTGGAAAGACATGTCTTGCATGTTCATGGCTCCAGTCCCTGGATTTGAGTATCCATAGATGGAGCCATGCTGAGAATTAGATATATTGAGAAACAAGCGTGCAACTGCCACCTTAATCTGAACACTAAAGAATTTTATGTTTGTAATAAAACAATGAAAAGTCTTCATGGCACCTTAAAGTATGACAAATGTGCTGAGGCACTCTGTTAGATGTAGGAGCTGGGTCTAGCTCATAAAAGCTTATGCCCTAATAAATATGTTTGTTGTTAAGGTGCTATGAGACTAACACAGCTACCTTCTGATATCTGGAATACTCCCACTACCACTGGCTGTACAATTTCATACAGAAAACATCCTGAAAACTATTCAGGACAAAGAATTACATTTTTGGATTTCTGGCCCTTACAGTTGTCAAGGAAAAATGGAATGGCTTGAATCCACCAGAGATTCCCAAGCTCCATGCAAAATATGCATATGTGATTAACTTGCTTAGTTTATACTGAACACATACTCCAGTTTTTCTTCGAAGAGGATTTAAGCAACTTTGGTAAATAATTTTATTTGGTATTTTCACACAGAGTACACACAGCTTTTGTCAAACCACACAGTCTCTCTGTGTGTGAAAGGGGGTATATGTGTGTGTGAACGCACATACTGAAATCTGGCTCTGTCTTCCTTCAGCAGCACAATCTCCCCTAGGCTGGGAGCAAAGAAGCTGTCCAGAAACAAAGGCTAACTCTATCTGGAGGACTGCACTGGTGAGCACATCTTCATGGACCACAATGCTGTAGCCCTTATCACCTGTGATCGTAAGCCTAGCAAACTTGGAGCAAACTTCTACTAATGATGAACTGCTTTTCTTGTCCTCAGAACCACAGAGAAGCCACCATTGGACCAAACTCACTTTTTCAGCTTCTTCCGTTTCTGAATAAGCAGGTCTTCATTGCACTGGAAAAGGAGGCTATGGTGCGAAATGAAGACTCTCAGGCGCTGAACACACACCAGAAGAAGGTAGTAATCAGGGTGCTCTTGCTCAGTGTACTTTAGGATATTCTGAAGCAAAGACAAACAAGAAGTGCTGGGCAACATCCTTTGCCACGTAATATTAGCATTGTATTAGCCATCTCTGCAATGTAAAGCAATAAAATAGTATACTATCTACCCATTGTGAGGCAACCTGTTCATCAAAGTCAGTATTGTCTAGTCAGATTGGCAGTGGCTATCCAGGGTCTCAGACAGAGATATTTTACATCACCTACTACTTCATCCTTTAAATTGGAGGTGCTGGGGATTAAACGTGGGACCTTCGGCATGCCAAGAAGAGGTTCTACCATTGAGCCATGGCCCCTTCCCAAAACTTGGATGGTTTTGATCATTTATTTGTTATTTTAATTATCTGTTTGTGATACATATTTACATATGTGGAGGAGTGTGTGCATGATAATGCAAAAGGAATTATCCTGCCGCTAGTCACTAACATTAGAAAATAATCTCAGCATTGAAACTGTACCACTTGCACAGTAGGCTTTGGGATGTGTAGTACTAAGAATCTTCTTATTTCTTGGAGTTTGCTTTGATGATTGCTTCATCTGATTATGTGGTTGCCCTGGGCATTTTCAATCTTGCTTCTGTTGCAGTTTATCTAAAAATGAGTGGAGTTCCAGATTCATCCTCCACTTCAAGATAAGACATTTCTTTAAAACCATGATTCTTTTTTTTTTATGGCCTCCCGTAGGGGATTTTTTATTTGCATTTACTAAAAACTACAACGAAATTGGGGAGGGAATCTACACACTATAGGAGAAAGAAAAGAAAACCCAGTGAAAACCCAAGGGTTGGAGGTCACATACAGCTTGTAAAAAAATTGCTTAACAATAATAAAAAGCTTTCTTTAACATTGAGAGTGATCAATCATCCCCATAGCTTGTAAAAACATCCCAACAAATCTGACTATATGAAGAGTAGTCCAGGAGAATTGCTATTTAATTTAGACACAAATTACAGAGAACAATGGCATCTATCTCATTTAACCATTATTTTTCCTTCCACCATTAAAAGCAAATTAACAATAAGTCTCCCTCAGTAGATATTACACAATCTCATTTTCTCTTCCATTGCTGCTTTCCTCTTTCTTCTTCCCTGTGGCACCATCTTGCTGTATCAGGAACTGGCCATCTCAAAACAAAGTCCCTTCTCCTTTTTCCAGGACTGTTCCGCTTAAATTCTTGCCTTCAATCATAGGGGTCGTTCCAATTTGCTTTTCACTGCCAGACTTGAAGAGGGTCATGTCACCTTATTGCCCAGCAGACTTAATCAGGATATAACCATGGAGGATACTTTAAGCTTTGCTTATGGTCTGCACACAGGCCCTTCGAATTGCAAATGCCCATTTGACTCTCCTCTTCGATCCTGGAAGCCCCTATGATCATTGGTTAAATGCTTCTCCAATATTAACACAGTCCTTTTAAAAGCAATAGCTGACATGTAGTCTTGCATAGTACCTCGTTTATACCAACAGGGAACAAAGGCTTAAGACACAGTTTGCAAGAGTCTATGATTATTTCCGGTCAGATGGTTAACCAGCAGTTCCTCCACTTCCTGGAGAAAGTTTGGATATCGCTTGTTGCTCTTACTACGTTATCCGTCACCATTTTTAAGGATGTTTACTCTTACAAAGTTTGCCAAAGTCCCGAAAACTTGCTTCAGCGCTTAACTGTCTCCTGGAATCTCTCCGTATAGTCCATTGCCGTTTTTAAACCTGCCCCCCCTTTCTTCTAGCTCTGTAACGCTTATAAACAGTTCTTAGCGGAGGAGAGTTCCCTCTCCCCCCTCGCTTTTCCGGGGGGGGGGGCTTTCGCTTTGTTGTTTCATTTCAACTTTACTCACTCTTCATATGTAGATCAAGTAGATCTCGCCAACAGATATGCTTATTTGCCGCTCAACCTCCACTCACTTGATTTGGGGTGTGCGTAGCTTAGTCCTTGCCGGAACACAGCAGAGAGACCATCAGAGCAAAGGGACGCGTGCCAGGAAAGAGGCGACCCTCAGCGCTCCATGACTGCAGACCCTTCGCAAAGGTCTCTGGGGCGCGTGGACATTTGCACCCTCTCTCTAACTGCTGGTTTGCAAGCCGCCTCCCTGGGAGATCCCAGGAGACACAGCCGCTATCAGCTTGCCGAAACCCCACCCTCTTTAAAACCATGATTCTGATATACAAATAGGCATATAAACCAGATCTTGTCTGAACTTTATCGTCTCTTCAGGAAGGCCATTGGGGTCGGGCTGGGTTTAGACACACTGAATCTTCTCCTTGTCAAAGAGGAGATGGACAGAATTGCCAGAGATATAACAGAGCAAACACATGCACATCCCCAGTTTGTAGATATGCACAAAGCTGGACAAAGGCCAAATGTAGCTGTAGCTATGAATATGGTGGAACACATCTGTCTAAAATGAGACTTTCAGATAACTGAGCTGGTGCTTTGGATCTAGAGTATCTTTACCAGTGACAACAGGACAAATGAGATGACCACAGACAATCCATGGGCAACTACTGCTCTGTCACTTTACATTGAACTCACTTGCAGCCCAACCTTATTTATTTATTTATTTATTTATTATTCACATTTCTATCCCGCCCTCCCCGGAGGCTCAAGGTGGCTTACAGGGCATAATGCCAGATAAAACAATAAAACAATACAAAATATTAAATTACAACCCTATTAAAACAGATTTTGATGCTCCTCTCAGCAAAATTTCCAATCTCTACAATTTCTAAAATTCCTAAAAAGCAAGATGGCTATCCCTGACCATCCCGTTCTCACCCATAGTGCAGCGACTAGATGTGCGTGCCCCATCCTGGTGTCCAAATATGGGGGATAGATGGTAACTAGTGCGATCGTAGTGCACTAGTGGTGGCGGCTCCTATTCAAAAGCCTGGCGGAAGAGCTCCGTCTTGCAGGCCCTGCGGAACTATGCTAGGTCCCTCAGAGCCCTGATCTCCTCTGGGAGCTCATTCCACCAGATAGGAGCCGCCACCGAGAACGCCCTATTCCTGGTCATGTTGAGTCTAATAGAACGGGGGCCTGGAACATCCAGTAGATGTTGGTTCCCCAACCGTAGTGCCCTTGGGGGAACATGTGGGGCAAGGCAGTCCCTTAGGTAGGCTGGTCCCTGACCATATAGGGCTTTAAAGGTAACGACCAGCACTTTGAAGCGAACCCAGTAAGCTATTGGCAACCAGTGCAGCGCTTTCAGCACAGGCTGGATGTGATCCCGTCTAGGAAGATCCATCAGTAGCCTGGCTGCAGCATTCTGCACTAGTTGCAGCTTCCGAATTTGCGACAAAGGCAGCCCCATGTAGAGAGCGTTACAGTAGTCTAGCCTCGAGGTAACCGTCGCATGAATCACTGTGGCTAGGTCATCCCGGTCGAGGAAGGGGACCAACTGCTGCACCAGCCGAAGATGGTAAAATGCCGACTTGGCAGTGGCTGCTACCTGGGCTTCCATTGTTAATGCGGAGTCCAGGAGCACCCTCAAACTCCTAACCTCCGCCCTCGGCACCAATGGCGCCCCATCGAAGGTCGGGAGAGGGAGCCCTAACCCCGGACCGGTCCGACCCAGCCCCAGGACCTCCGTCTTTGCCGGGTTTAATTTCAGCCGACTCAGTCTGAGCCACCCAGCCACGGCCTGTAACGCCCGACTAAGGTCATCGGGAGTGGAATCCAACCGGCCGCCCAACATCAGATACAGCTGGGTGTCATCCGCATACTGGTGACACCCCAGCCCGCAACTCCGGGCAATCTGGGCGAGGGGGCGCATATAGACATTAAACAACATCGGGGATAGCACTGCCCCCTGAGGTACACCACACTCCAGGGGCCACCTCCGGGAGCGCTGATCCCCTATCGCCACCCTCTGTCCCCGACCTTGGAGAAAAGAGACCAGCCATTGAAGGGCAGGCCCCTGAATCCCCACATCAGTGAGGCGGCAGGCCAGCAACTGATGGTCGACCGTATCAAAAGCGGCCGACAGGTCTAACACCAACAGTGCCGCCACTCCGCCTCGATCCAGATGCCTACGGAG